CAGCTCTGGAATCAAACTGCCTAGGTCCAGATCTTCTGAATTTTTGAAATGTAACTTAACCTTAATGTGTCTCTTTCTTTGTCATATAATGGTACAATAATATGCCTACCTCATAGGGCATTTCTAGGATTAAATGAAAAAATAAATGTAAAGTAGCTAGGAATTTGCCTGGCATATAAGAATTCAAACAGATTATTCGTGATTTCTAATGCATCCATACATAATAGGAACCTAAGCACTCTTCCTGAAATACTGATTTTATGAATCTGCCTAATATTAGTTATTCAAGATTTCCTAAATGTGATAAGACAAGGTCATCAGACACATCAATTATAATTAGAGTTGGAATATTCATGTCATTCATCTTTGATTTCTTAAAAAAGAATTATTTGAAAATGAGCTTACCTTCAGAGGAATGCACCATAAACATAATGCATTGATTTTAGGCTGTTGGTTAGCTGCACGATCATTTCTTATTTTCACTTGTCACCCCAGCTCCCAAATCTGCTCAAGTATGAGTTTAGCTACATAAAACTTTTACCTGTGCTAATGGCCTATAAGTGCCAGTCAGTAAGATGATGAGTTCTCATTAGTGGTCTTCACCTCATTAGAAGCCTGCTGTCACTGATAATGGACCTCAGAGGTCAATACAAATCTCAGGAAGAATTCCCTTTAATTTAGTAGAGAGACAGGTGTGTGGAAGCCAAGTGCTATCTATACACGGCTGCATTGCACATGCCTACAACAATTGCAAAGTCATCTGAAGAAACCTAGCACTAAATCCCAAAACGATTCCTGCTCAAGAAACCACTATTAAGTCTAATACCAAGGAGAAGTACAAAATTTAGATTTTTTCCTATCAAGATTTCAGAAAGTACTAAGAGTCATTAGATTGATCTCAATAACTTCCTGGGAAAAGCATCTGTATTAAACACCGAAGAATTTAATTTTTTTGAGAATTTATGTATATATGATCTCTCACTTGATAAATAAATGAGCTGCAGTAACAGTCTCCTTAAAAGAAAAAAAATGCACTGTCATTCCTCCAGCCTTTTCAACAAAAGAGTCAATATTGAAACCTGAGGTAAAACAGCCAAACAATGTCAAAAGTAATGTGGGTATTTCTGTTATTTCTCTGTTCCTCTCCAAAGGGACTGTTCTGTCTCAGTGTGTATGGGTAATTTTGTGGCAAATTAGCCAATCCAGGATCCACTTAAGGGCACTTGTAAAGGTAAGAGCATGGCTACTCTGCAAGCTTTCTGAAAAACAGTTTCTAAGAAGTGCAGGCTTACATGCACAAGCTATCCAAAGTGAGATGTGTTTTCTGAGATAAACTGAAGAAGAAAAGTCTAAATCAACCTTCTCTTCAAAATAAACAAGACACATCAAGAGAAATCACAGACACAGAAACATGGTATTTCTGCCAAATACATATTTACAAACTATGTAGGCAAGAAGTTCTGAGATGCCACTGACACCCTGGCCATGTGTCAAGATTTATACTTAGTGACATTTGCAGGAACCAGGTAGCAAATTGAATCTCACATGAAAGGAATGAAATATGGAAATGTAAACCGAACCCCCAAATCGCGTTTTTCTTACAGGAAAAAGCAAATCCCCAGAGATCTGTGGATGGCTTTGTGTACTTATCTAAGCCATTTTTCTATAATAAAATATTCACATTTCAGAAAAGCAAAGGTGAAGCAAAGTAGTGGCAAAATGGCAAACATGTTTAAACGTTCAAAGTACTCTGGTGTCTATTCATAACCGCTCAGGAGCAGAAATCGAAAAACAGAATTAGATCTGGCTTCTCTCTCAGGCGGTTCGATGATGATTCCGCTGATGCTACAGAATTCAGGGAAAACTTCTCCAGCCAGTCAAGGGGACCAGGCAATTTGTAAAGACTTAGACTTCCCGTGAGCTCCTCGCTATGGCTGACACGGTGACAAGAATTATCTCCCAGCTTTCATGATTTCTAATCCGGAACGAAACCATGCCCCTCCCGAAACGATGCGTTTGAGTCACCTTCCTCCTAACTCTTCAGTTCTCTACTAAGGGCACTAGCAACCAAGTAGCCGAACATTCAATCTTTCACACACTCAGCTCCTCACTTGGGCAGAAGAGCCGGGATTTTGCCTCTCGTCAAACCTGTGGAATAAACCACTCCGTCCGACTCGGTGATACTTCTCAAAAAATGAAAAAAAATTCCTTCTTTCTTTATACATGTATTCTTATACATGTGCACACATTCATTGGTCTCTACAAAGAAAAAAATGTCAAACTCGCTGTTCGACAGGATTTCATTCACAACCTTTTCACAAAGTGGTAGCCGTTAGCCAATAACTCTTCAAACAAAAAATTAACACACACGCACACACACACACACACCCAAACCTTGAGGAAAAAAATCTGTCAGGCGCCGAGAAAGTACCGGGTGGAGAGCACAAGGGCCCCGGTCGCGGTCTCCACTCCCGGGCTGGAACTCCCCAAGGACGCGCTGGGGACCGCGCTCCGCCCGGGACAGCCCGCAGCCCCGGCAGGTGTCGGCCCTCACCTCCTGCCCCGACCCGCTCCCGGGCTCGGGCCGCGGGGTCCGCAGCAGGTCTGGGGTGGGGCGGGGCGCGCGGTCGTCTGCTCTCTCGGAGCGTTCCGGAGCGCGCGGGCGCCACTTACATGGCGGGACGGAGCTGTAGGGCGCTTCCTGGCGGCCAGCCGACAACCGCCCAGGCGCAGAAGCACCAGCGCCGCCGTCGCGAGGACGCCTCGGCGAGGCTGATCCGTCCGGGCCGCCGCCCCGGCTGTGCGCGGCGCGCAGTTCTGGCTCCGCAGGTGCGAACCCGGCGCAGAAGTTGGGCTCGTCAGGCAGAAGTTGGTGTGCGGGGCTCGCGGGGCTGGCGCGGTGCGCCTCTCCGCGGAGGGAACCGCAGCAGCGCGGCCCCACCAGGCGTCACAGGCGGCTGGGAGCATGAGGGGAGCGGCCGGGCGAGCCCCAGAGGCTGGGTGGCCGCTGAGCTCTGCCTGCCCCTGCTCCGCCGGGAGCGACTGAAGCAGAGTGAGCCCAGCGGCCCGGCAGCCCCCGCAGCCCCGGTGCCATGGAAACGCGCTCGCCGCCCTCCCGCCCCAGCCCCTCCGGAGCGCTTAAAGAGACAGCCCCGCCGCCAGCGCGGGCTCGAGGCGCTGCCGGGCGTCCCCCACGCCCTGCGCCCTCCTCGCCCCCTCCTCGTCACCCAGGCGCGGCGGGGGCTGGGCGCTGAGGCCTGGAAGGGCAGTTGGGACGCAAAATAAGGGGCTTCGCTCGGTACTCAGCCTAACTCTGCTCCCACCTCTTCCTACCCGCCCCCTCCCGGCGCACACACTCTAATCCCCACAAGGAGCCCGAGCAGCCCGGGCTTTTTCCCTTCGTGCATCGGCCGGCTCAGAACCAAACCAGCTGTGCACAAGCAGAGACCAAAAGAAGGCTGGCTGACTTTTGATTCTCTTGTTCTGCTTGCTCCCCATCCCGAGTCTGGGGAGTCGGTCAGAACACTAGGCTGAGGGAAGTGTGTTTGAACTGGGAACCAACTGGCAGTTGATTGAATCCAACCTGCCAAGCCGACAGTTGCAGGACACATCGCCGGCTCATCCAGAAACCCTCCTCACTCAAAACGGGGTCATCTCTCTTCGTTTTATTTGGCTATAAGCTCACCCCCCTTTAGGCACCAGATTTAAAAGCAGGAGCCAACGCTTTTACAAACTTACTCCCTCCTTTTCGTCAAACCAGCTCCTTTCTCCCCAAATATAAGGAGGAGCAGCCAGCCGTGGCCCCTCCAGAGAGGAACAGCGTCCGCTCCGGCTCGGAACGGGAAGCTCAGGGTGCGGGGCTGCCCCGCGCAGCCTGGGACGCACCGCCAAGCGCGAGGCAGTCGCCAGCAGCTCAGGCCGTAGGCCGTGCCTCTGCCCGGCGCCAGCTGCTGTCTGGAAGGCAGCAAACCTCTGGAGTCTGTTTCGTGGAAATAAAAAGCTATGGTGCATCGTGCCCTCCAACAAAGGACAGTCCAGGCTCCGAAGCCATAATCTACTGTTTATCCCTGAAAAATATGGATCAATCCACAGTGGAAAGACTTTTCTCTTTGAATCCTAAACTTACCCCAAGTGGCTCTCCAGTGACTCATTCACAGTCAAAAACGGTACTTAAAGTGGCACCACCTGATTTCCTCAGTTCTGGGAGCCCTAAAAGGACCTTTCCCAAATGGTTATTTGGACTCCCTCTTGTCCTGCATATTTGAAATAACCATCTGGCTCTTAGTTTCCGTCTTTTGAGCCTTTGTTCCCTTTTCTTTCTTTCTTTTTTGTTTTTTGGTTTGTCTGTTTTGTTTTTTGTTATTTTTTTCCTGGTTTTCTATGACCGAAGAAGCAATTGAGCTTGATTTATTTATTTATTTATTTATTTATTTATTTATTTATTTATTTATTTATTTATTGAGACGGAGTCTGGGTCTGTCTCCCAGGCTGGAGTGCAATGGCGCGATCCAGGCTCACTGCCACTTCCGCCTCCTGGGTTGAAGCGATTCTCAGCCTCCTGAATACCTGGGACTGATGGTGCACGCCACCCCACCCAGCTGATTTTTTGTATTTTTAGTAGAGACGGAGTTTCACCATGTTGTCCAGCATAGCCTGGATTTCCTTACCTCGTGATCCGTCCGCTTCGGCTCCCAAAGTGCTGGGATTACAGGCATGTGCCACCGCGCCCGGCCCAACTGGGCTTTTACAGAAGGGATTGAGAAGAAAACTGTTGTTTCTCTGAAAAAAAAAAAAAAAAAAAAAAAAAAAAAAGATAGAGGTGAACTAGAACCAAACTACTCCTGAATTCTTCAGCATTCTGTGACTTTGCTCTCCTTGAGTCTCAGAGTTTGGAATTCATGCCACCCTATAGTATTTTCTATTTCTCTGAGATATATCTGTATTTTTACTTGTTTTAAAATTGAATTTTAGTAAAGTGAAAAAGCCATAAGTACAAGTACATAACTAGACATCTTTATCTTCTGACAAATATATTTAACAAACATAATTTTCGAGTTATTTCCACAATAGAAATCATTAGTTAACCCCCCTTATTTATTTTTAAAAAAGATTCATTCTGACTTCTCGTTCTAAATACCAGATGTACATCAACCAGGCCTTCTCCAACCCCAGAGACAGTGGACTTGAGGACAGTGTTGATATCTACTGTAGAGATGCATTGTCACTTGGCTAACTCTAATTAGTTCTGATATTAACAGGCCCAGCATAGGCTGCTAAAACACACTGACTATTTAAAAATAGATTTTTAACTCTTACTTGTAACTGGTACTTAAACTCTTTGCCACCTTTTGTTAACAAGTAACAAAGTTGATTGCTTAATTTCACCTCCTCTTCTTTTCTTCCTTCTTCTAGTGAGATGCTAATGAATGGTGAAATAACGAAGGCAGGCAAGACTCTGTGGAAAAGAAACTGGATAATACACAAAAATGGTGACTTCTGAACCGAGTGTACTAACTATATAAGGTGGGTGTGTTTTTCTCCCCATCTGAGTATAACTATACGTTAAAAAAAAAAATTAATCCTCTCTATTGATTCAATTTTTCATTTGTCTTTTGGATGGAATGTTAAGACTCCAGATTGTTTTAATACAGTTGCATATTAATTATTTTAATAAAAATGTATAGCATACCTAAAGATAAGAGTTAAGATTAATGGTACTCTGAAATTTCCTGTGACTTGCTAAGCTTTTATTTGCTTCTCAACTAGTTTTAACTCTGCTTGGATGTATCTTCAACCAATCTCATTCCATCCTGAAATGTAAAAAGTTTCTAAATATTCTCTTTCATAGTATCACTGAAACTCTTGCATACAGGATAGATCACATTTATTACAAGGCTAAATTTTACGTAAGCCACAGCCAATATTCAGAACTATTTTAAAAGCTAAAGAATAATGGAAATTCAAGAATGTATGTAAATCATCTGATTGCATAGTTGTTTAATAAAGAATAGCTTAGGCATGTGGGAAGTAACTAAGCACACTGAAAATCATAAATTAGAAAATTTTTGTTCTATGTGCATTAGTTTCAAAACACATTTTTACTATAGATGAACATTGAAAGCACTTAGGATGCTACAGGGTAAATATGATTAGTCTATATCTCATAAAGTGAGATTTATTTCAAATTATTCTAGCATGGATAATCATATGAACACAATGTCATGTAAGCAACATCATTAAATGAAATATACTCTTCTAACATAAGTGCTTAAAATATTGCCATGAACTTGAAAACACTGATATGAAATCAACTCCCCTTCTGCAGTACATTCATACAATTTTGAAATAACTGGTTATTTGGTTTGATTGCTTGGGTATGCTATGCTTAAACAACAATGTATTATGAAACGTTTTAGCTATAATCTTCCACATTAAAAGAACAATGCAATTTGGTGTTTGGCGGTTGTTATGAACACACAAAATGAAGGCAGACACAGACAAATAATTTTTATTGTCAAAGAAAAAGAAATTTTAAATTTAACCAAGCAAGAGCATGAGCCAGGTACACAAAGGACCAATTTTAAAAATTAAGAGAAGAAAAAAAAGTTTTGTGTTGATGACATCCCTTACTTGGACATAAATATTGCAGGGAAAATCCGGAAACATTATCAATTGAGTTTTATTTTTGTGAATGATCTTTCACAATCTCAACCTAGACAGATTCTTAAAAAGGAGTTAGAAATTGCAGACAAACATTCTATCTAAAAGGATCTAAACATTCTATCTAAAGGTTTTCAGGGGGACCTTCAGTGGGAATGCCATATGCCACTTCACTCTCCCTCCAGACCTGCATCAAAGAAGTGATAAATCTAACCAGCTTCTCTCTTGTTAGGAAGGGGTGGGGTAAGCCAATTTAATGCTTTATGTCTGCTGGTTGTAAAAGGGGACGCTTACCAAAAAAGAAATACATTCTGACCAGATGTTCTCAAAATCTTCCTGAGCTCCTACTTAAAACTTTACAGTTACCAAATACTTTATCTTCTCGTTTGTCTTCTTCTAATTGAGAAATTGTTGATCCATGGCAATTCAACAAGTGGGTGATACAATAACCTTCCAGCTAAAGCATTGCAGTCTTGCTCTCCTGCACACAAAAACTTCCAGTGTCTATATGGGGACAGGAAAAGAGAACAGGCCACTTCATTCAGCAGGTGTTGTAGGTTGAAAGAGGAGGAGGTCAGAAAGCAATTCTTTAAAGGACAGCTTCTGTCACTGAAAGTGTAATAAATTGCCATTATATAAATGCCCACAAACACTAATAAGCCATGCACATTGAAATCTTGATGTCAGGCAAAATAGAATGAAATTCATCCAGGAACCAACTAAGATTGTCGCACCAAGATATGAATAATCATTCTCCATTTGGTTTAATCTGCCACTAAATTTTGCCCCTCCAAATCCAAAGTTTTCTTTCTCTCTCTTTTTTTATGGAAAATAAATTCTTCATAAAACACATATGGCTAGTGATATATACATAATTTCTCAGCACTTCAATACTCATTGGTCATAAAGACTTACCAATCAGATGTGAGTAATAATGGAATGACCAGATCTGGAATTATATGTGTTTATTAGAACAGAATTGGAAGATTAGCCCACACACACATTTTTTTAGAAACTTTACTTTGCACAGCTAATGCTTTTTTGGGTATATGGGGTAAAAAAATATGTAACTTTATATTCTTAACCATTTTTAAGTGCATAGTTCATTACTGTTAAGTATATTCATATTATTGTGCAACAGATCTCAAGAACTTTTTTATCTTGCAAACAGAAACTCTATATCCATAAATACTAATTCTCCCTCTACCTTCCTCCCAGCCCTTGGCAACCACCATTCTATTTTCTGTTTCTGTGTTCACTATTTTAGATACTTCATATGAATAGAATCATAGAGTATTTGTTCTTTTATGACTGGCTTATTTTGCTTAGCATAATATCCTTGAGGTTCATCCATATTGTAGCATATAACATTATTTCCTCCTTTTTAAGGCTTTATAATATTCCACTGTATGTATATAAATTTTCTTTATCCATTAATCTGTTAATGAACATTTGGATTGTATCCACCTCTTGGCTATTGTACATAATGCTGCAATAAATATGGATGTTCAAATATCGCTTTGAAATCTTGCTTTAAATTATTCTGGCTATATACCCAAAAGTGGGATTGCTGGACCACATGGTAGTTCTATTTTTAACTTTTTGAGGAACCTTCATACACTTTTCCATAATGGTTATACTAATTTACCTTTGCACCAACAATGTGCAAAGGCTTTTTCCATATCCTCTCCAATATTTGTTATATTTTACCTTTTTGATAATAGTCATTCTAATGGGTGTGAGGTGATATCTCATTGTGGTTGTAATTTGAATTTATCTAATGATGAGTGATATTGAGTACCTTTTCATACCCCTGTTGGACATTTTTATGTCTTCTTGGGAAAATGTGTATTCAGGTCCTTTGCCCATTTTATAAAATTGGGTAATTTGTTTTCTTGCTATTGAATTGTTTGAGTTTCCTTTAATAGACATACCTTAGAGATAATGCAAGTTCAATTCTAGACCACCACAATAATATGAATATCCCAATACAGTGAATCCCATGAATTTTTGGTTTCCCAATACCTATAAAAATTATATTTACAGTATACTATAGACTATTAAGTGTGCAACAGCATTATGTCTAAAAAAAAACACAGGTACATACTTTAATTTAAAAATACTGTATTGCAATTAGTTGGGTGTGGTGATGCATGTCTGTAATCCCAGCTACTCGGGAGGCTGAGGTGTGAGTACCACTTGAACCCAGGAGGCAAAATTGCAGTGAGCCGAGATCATGCCACTGCACTCCAGCCTGGCAACAGAGTGGGAATCTGTTTCAAAAATAACAATTAACTGAGCCTTCAGCAAGTCATAATCCTCTTGCTGGTGGAGGCTCTTGCCTCAATGTTAGTGGCAGCTGACTGATCAGAGTGGTGATTGCTATAGGTTGGGGTGACTGGACATTTCTTAAGACAACAACAAAGTTTGCCTCATTGATTGACCCTCTTTCCCAAAAGATTTTTCTGTAGCATGCAATGATGTTTGACAGTGTTTTCCTCACAGTACAACTTCTTTCCCAAGTGGAGTCAATTCTCTCAGACACTGTGGCTGCCTCACCAACTAAGCTATGTGATAATCTAAATCTTTTGTTGTCATTTCAACAGTGTTCAAAGTATCTTCTTCAGGGGTAGTTTCCATCTGAAAAAAATCACTTTCATTGCTCATCCGTAAGTTGCAACTCTTCATTAATTAGTTTGATCATGAGATTGCAGTATTTCAATCACATCTTGGGATGCCACTTCTAATTCTAGTTATCTTGCTATTTCCACTACATTTGCAGTTCCTTCCTCCACTGAAATCCTGAACCCCTCAAAGTCATCCATGAGGGTTAAAATCAACTTCTTTCAAACTTCTTTCAAACTTTGACCTCCTCCCATGAATCATGAATGCTCTTAATAATATTTAGAACGGTGAATTCTTTCCAGAATGTTTTCCATTTTCTTTGCCTATATACTTATCCAACCAAGTCAAATGAAAGAGGAGACAAAGGTGTACGAAAAGAAGAATCACTACCCATGGCAGCTATCATGTTACAAAATGAATTTTTGCTATTATAAATATTTGTAAGCTCCAATTATGGCTTAGGCTGTAACTCACCAGCCCAAAGCAAGGGTGCTTGAAAGTTCATTATTTTATACTTTCATACAAATATAGTGCACATTTGCACCTGGAGTATTTTCTATAGTTTTGCGTGTTTGTACAGCGTATGAAACAGGCAGTTTCAGCTTCCTATACAACTATGGAGCATAGTATCCATAGTACAGGCAGCATACTATCAAGAAAGTGGAAAGAAAACTCACAGAAAGGAATAAAATATTTACATCACATATCTGAGAAAAGATTAGTATCCAGCATATATAAAGAATGCTTGCAACTCAATGATTTTTAAAAATGCAAAAACGGTTTATTTAGATAGACATTTCATTTAGAATTATATAAAAAGCGAATAATCACATGAAAAGAGGCTCAACATCACTCACCATAAGGGAAATTCCATTCAAAACCATAATGAAATGATACTTCACACTTACTGTGATGCAATAGTACAATTAAAGGGACGACAACAAATGTTGGCAATGATATGGAACAATTGGAATCTTCATACATTGCTGGTAAGAATATAGTGATACAGCCACTTTGAAAAATAGCTTGGTAGTTCTTCCAAACATCAAACATAAAGTTGCCATATGACCTAACAATTCCACTGCTAGGCCAAGAGAATTGAAAACATGTCCACACAAAGATTTGTACAAAAATGTTCATAGCAGCATTATTTATAATAGCCAAAAACTGGAGACAACTTCAATGTCCATCAATTGAGGAACAGAAAAACAAAATGTGGTACATCTATACAAAAGATTATTACATAACCATAAATAAAAAGGAATGAAGTACTGATATATGCTACAATGTGGGTGAATCTTGAAAACCTTATGCTAAGTAAAAAAGATCAGACAAAATGGGCCACATATTGACTTATGAATCCATTTTTATAAAGGGTCTAGAATAGCCAAATTCATAGAGACAGAAAGTGAATTCGTGGTTTTGAGGGGCTGGGGCCAGGAGGGAATAGGGAGTGACTACTAATGTGTACAGAGTTTCTTTTGGGGGTGATGACATGTTCGGAAATTAGATAATGGTGATGGCTCTGAAATTAGACATCTGGAATTAGTATTTTCACATAACTTTGTGAAAATATTGAAAATCACTTTAAAAGGATAAATTTTGTGGTATGTAAATTATATCCTTTAGAAAAAAAAAAAAAAAAGCTCAGTCCACAGACCAATGTCTAACTGCAAAGTGCTTCATACTGGTCCTCAGCAAGATGAGAAGTTTATGCCAGAATGAAAGCAGACTAAAGCACTAAGCACATTAGTTTAGCAGACTTTTTTATGACAATATTTTTTCAATAAAGTATGCAGTCCATTGACTTTCATTCTGAAGTAAGCTTCTTATCACTCTGTGGGCCAGGTAATGAAGAGTTTAAAAACCAGCCACTATGAGGAAAGCTTCTATAATCTAAATGCCTCACTTTGAGAGTGCATTTGCCATTGGTTGCATGATGCACTATTGAATAAATTAAGATAACTTATTAAGGAAAACCATTCCAAATTTATATATTATAAGTGTATTGCACATAGTAACAAAACTTCAATTCTATTCATCATGCTTCTGTATGTCAGGCAGAAAGTTAGGTAATAGAAATAAAGAGGAAAGAGGAGCAGAAGAGAAAGAAGGAGAATGGGAGGTTGAAGAGAAGGAAAGATGAAGGAGGAGAAAGAAGAATTTAAATAAATACTAAGACAGGTGCTACATGTGCAAAGAGTTTATCCCAGATGAGTCAGTCATGTGCCTTGTCCAACGTAATTAGTATCACAAGAGAAGTAGATATAAAATGCAGATAACTGAGGCATTACTTGGGGGAAGCATATGCTTTCTATATGTCAAGAAATTCTTCCTCAAACTGTATGTGAGGTGAATCAAAAGGAATGAATAGGAGTTCAGTAGGCACACATGTCTGAACATTAAAGAACAGAACCAGAGCTAATTTAACAAAAAGGCAATTTCTATGAAATGGTATTTGTCGAAGTGTGGTCCCCAAACCAGGAGCAGCAGCATTGCCTGAGAACTTGTTCGAAATAATTCTCAGGCCTGTCCTATAACTACTAAACCAGGCGATCTAAGAGTGGGAGTTTGCGTTTAGACAAGCCCAAGTGATTATGATGCACACAAAAGTTTGAAAACCACTGTTTTAGAGAAATATAGCAACTAGTTTAAAAAATATATGCTGAATCTTAAAAGACAAAAAAAGAGTCCCAATTTAACACAGTAAATTGACCACACAGTTTTTATCTTTTCTCCCTCCCAAACCTCACTAAATGAAGATTAAAGACATGTTTTAAGTTCTTATCCAACCAAGTCAAACGGAAGAGGAGAAAATAACTACCAACTATTTCAAAATAATTTGGAAGATGGGAGCCTGATACAGGATTCCTAACTGCCTTCATAGATAGAAGTCACGTAAGTTACAGGGTTAGTGCCTCCAGAAGGCAATGTCTGGAAGAAGAGAAGTGAGTCCACTCATGAGAGACGGCTGAAGGACTTAGTGCTTGAAGGCACCAAGCATCCTGGAAGGTGACGTTGATGTGGGAGCCTAAAATGTGGGATCTGGCTATAAAATACGTACAGTAGTTGACTCCCTGATGTTCTCTTCTCCTTCTGCCCCTCAGGAGACAGGGGATATATTCTCTGGAGAAACTGAACTGCAGGGGTCCAGCTTTGACAGAGATGAATCAGAGCGCCAAGCACAAGGCAATTAGGTAAAAGTCTTCAGGATGAACTGAAGGGCTCTCATGGCTCATATCACTTGTGATTCCCAGGAAACCTGTATCTAAGTATATATCTTGCACCATAAGGGAGGTTGGAGGACTGTCTTCTGGAGATCCCAATAAAAGGACTAGTAACTGATAACCTTCCAGTGAAGTCCACCACTTGACTACTCCCATCCACAGAAACACCTTCCTTTGAATAGAAACTTTTTAGTGCTTAAATATAACCAGCCAATAATCACCAGATTTGAAGAAAGCTTCCAGGATGTAGAGACCTACATGTAAAGAACAGATATAAAGAACCCGAGAAAATAAATGCATTCTGCTTATCCCAATTATTTTCAGAAAGATAAGAGGATACTTTACATTTACATACACAAAATTGTATAGCTATGAAAAGGGAACATTAAGTAAATGAGAGACAGGTC